TTCCCTCCTTGCATCACTTCTACTTTGTAAAAAAATTCTCATATGCTAACTTTTTCTCTCCTTACTACTCTCTTTACATCATCATTCCACCAATCGCTCCTCTTCCCTCCTGCACCCACTTTCCTGTAACCACAAACTTCTGCTGAACACTCTAACATTTCCATTTTTTAAACCTACCCCATACCTCTTCGACCCCATTGCCTATGCTCTCATTAGCCCATCTATCCTCCAATAGCTGTTTATATCTTACCCTAACTGCCTCCTCTTTTAGTTTATAAACCTTCACCTCTCTCTTCCCTGATGCTTCTATTCTCCTTGTATCCCATCTACCTTTACTCTCAGTGTAGCTACAACTAGAAAGTGATCTGAAATATCTGTGGCCCCTCTATAAACATGTACATCCTGAAGTCTACTCAACAGTCTTTTATCTACCAATACATAACCCAAACAAACTACTGTCATTTCGCCCTACATCATATCTTGTATACTTATTTATTCCTCTTTTCTTAAAATATGTATTACCTATAACTAAACCCCTTTCTATACAAAGTTCAATCAAAGGGCTCCCATTATCATTTACACCTGGCACCCCAAACTTACCTACCACACCCTCTCTAAAAGTTTCTCCTACTTTAGCATTCGGGTCCCCTACCACAATTACTCTCTCACTTGGTTCAAAGGCTCCTATACATTCACTTAACATCTCCCAAAATCTCTCTCTCTCCTCTGCATTCCCTCTCTTCTCCAGGTGCATACAACGCTTATTATGACCCACTTCTCGCATCCAACCTTTACTTTAATCCACATAATTCTTGAATTTACACATTCATATTCTCTTTTCTCCTTCCATAACTGATCATTTAACATTACTGCTACCCCTTCCTTTGCTCTAACTCTCTCAGATACTCCAGATTTAATCCCATTTATTTCCCCCCACTGAAACTCTCCTACCCCCTTCAGCTTTGTTTCGCTTAGGGCCAGGACATCCAACTTCTTTTCATTCATAACATCAGCAATCATCTGTTTCTTGTCATCCCGCACTACATCCACGCACATTTAAGCATCCCAGTTTTTATAAAGTTTTTCTTCTTCTCTTTTTTAGTAAATGTCTACAGGAGAAGGGGTTACTAGCCCATTGCTCCCGGCATTTTAGTCGCCTCTTTACGAAACGCTTGGCTTACGGAGGAAAGATTCTTTTCCACTTCCCCATGGACAATAGAAGAAATAAAGAAGAACAAGAGCTATTTAGAAAAAGGAGAAAAACCTAGATGTATGTATATATATATATGCATGTGCGTGTCTGTGAAGTGTGACCAAAGTGTAAGTAGGAGTAGCAAGATATCCCTGTTATCTAGCGTGTTTATGAGACAGAAAAAGAAACCAGCAATCCTACCATCATGCAAAACAGTTACAGGTTTCTGTTTCACAGTCATCTGGCAGGACGGTAGTACTTCCCTGGGTGGTTGCTGTCTACCAACCTACTACCTAATTTTTATTTACGTTTTTTAAATGAGTTTTCTTCTTTAAATATATTGGCATTGCCAGCATAGTTTCTGAATGTTGTAATTAAAGGTACTTTTTTAATTATTTTTTATTTTTTCATGGGATTAAATAAGTACAGTGTCTCAATAATGTTAATAGTACATGGCTTCAAATTGGTACAGAGTACATATGTCTTGATCGTATAATATCACATTGAGTCAGGCATGCACCTGTTTTGAGTATATAATTTATAAAAAAATAACTCGTTCATCAGTATGAAAATTGTGCTATTTTCTTCAGACTAGAGATCCTCTTCAAATGATGGTTTCTAGTTCACCCAAAAACTTTGCTCTAGTTTCATGCTGTTGAATGGAGGTTATTTCTGTGCCATATTGATTTGGGGATTTGTAACCCTCTTGTGGCAGTTTATTGAATGTTTGTTCCCTTCAGAGAGGCTTTTGATCCAGAGAATTGGATCTGACTTTCCTTTCCTTGGATTGAACCTGATGGCCTCCAATTTTCCTAGGTGCTGTATGACCTCTGTGGGTTTAGTGCTCTCTTCCTGGATGTAATAATAGAATAGTAATTAATATTAATAGCTTTACATAATATGTTGTTAAAATTTTGATGCCCCACTACAGTTACTTAAAATATTTTACAAATGTATATTATCTTACAATTTTCTTCAGTTGTTTGGTGTTATTTAACTCATGGATACTGTTGCTGATTTAGGAATAATGTAGATATTTTTTAGTGATTTTTTTTTTTAAGTAAATAACCTAAAATGAAATGTATGGTACTATAGGGTTTTGTAACTGCCCTTGGTAATTTTTTTTTTTTTGTTGGGGGGGGGGGGGAAGTTGATAGGGGGGTATTTTGTTAAACTACCATGTGATGTCATAATTGGGGATGATGATATGTTCCTACTTATGATTTCTATTGATATTAGGTATCTCAAAAAAAAAAAAAAAAATGGGAAAGATGACTAGTTATAATTTTTTTTTTTTTGCATTTTAAATGACTGTGCTCAGCATTTTTGTTAGTGTTGTTGAGGGTCTGGTTAACTTTTAACACTTTCCACATGACTGGAAGGTTTAATTATCCTTCTTTTAGCATACACAATACCTCAGGAATCTTATACATTATAATACACATTGTATTCATACCTTGCAATATTTTCTGTTGGTATAGTGTATGCCTCAGTAGTGTTGACAAAGTATTCCACTCAATTTTCCATCCCTTATCCACTTTGTAATATTTGACAGTGCATTTATTTTACCTGCATTTGCATGTGGCTGAAGTGTTGGGAGAAGATCCAGCATGGGCCACCCTACTTTAAAAGGTGGGAAATAGTTCACTCAATATTGATAGATATATTTAGTCCCTTGATTTTCATATACCTTTTCAAGTTCTTAAAGTAAATTACTCATTTGTGCACCTTAAGCCCTTTCCTTTTTCTCTGCTGAAGTATTACCCTTGTTAATTTCATTCATGCAAACACTTGAGAAATAAACTGCATTTGTGTATGGTTGCGGTGTGGTCATCACAGTGGGCTGATAGCCTCTGTCCCAAATTTGAATTTTCACAGAAGGTAGTGTTTCTAATATGGTGTAGGCTGGCTTCCATTGTACAGTTGAACTCTACTGTTCTGGACTTGTGGGGACTAGCAGTGTTATCTTTATACTGAAGTTCCAGTAAAAATAAAGACCAAGACTAAACACAGTTTATAGAATATAGACACAAATATAATTATACTGCTAAATTTCCCATTTTCTTCTAATTTTCATTACAGTTATAGTGGATTTAATCATTTGGGGTAGAAAGAATGGGAGACTGTGATTACAGTGCAATGTTAGTACATTTTCAAGAAGGCAAGTGCTCATTTAAATGTCATATTGATAGTTATGTATACTTATTAGAGTATTAAAGTATCTGCATATCTACTCTAATTGTTATTTATTCTTAAAGAATTCTGTGTGAATGAAAAGGCACAAATTGGCAGCCAAGGTTTCACCCTACCTGTCTCATCTTTCTCACATAATATTGCTTGTGTGAAATTAGACAGCTCCATTCATGTAGCAGAAGGCTACATGACTCCCAAGAACTTTGTTCTCAGTTTATATTGGGACATCGTTTACATGTCCGGGAGTTGATCCCTACACCACAACAGTGTAGGAATTGCTGGGACTTCGGCCACCCAGCGAAATATTGCAGGTCCATGGCAGAATGCCCTGCGTGTGGTGCTGCTGACCATACCATACCTGCCTTAATTGTAATGAGGCTCACCAGGCTTATTCACACCGTTGCCAAGTTTACTTTAAAGAGCAAGAAATCTGCGGTCTCAAAGAGAAAGAGGGTTTCACTTATGCCATGGCAGTCTCTCATCTCCATGAGAGACTTCCACTACTTTATTATTCTAGAGTTACTAAACGGCCTTCAACCTCAGTGGTACCTACTTCCACCATCTCCTCTGTGGTCACAACTTCCACAGTCACCTTTGTTCCCAATCTTTTGTAGTCCTGGACACCGTGGTCCCTACCTCATCGCCTCAAACTGTCCTCAAGTCTTCATCATCTCGCTCGATTATATCTATGTCTACAAGACCTCCCACCCCTCTACTTCTCCAAAGTTCAAATCTTCTTTAACCCTTTTGTCCTTCCCAAACATTTTTTTCCTTTCCAGTCTATGTGCCTAGTACTTTACTACCTCTTAATGTGTCTGTTACAGGTGTGGAGGTTCATCCTATCTATCATGCAGATCCCTCCTCTCCTGTTTCCTCCAAATTAACTCTAACTTCTCATCCCCTCCCCTTTCTTTGGTAACCTCCATCATCTCTCCGATCTTTACTGATTCTCTCCCTTCTGTCTCTGATGTCGTACTATCTGCAGCTTCCTTGTCTGAAGTGCTTGAAGCTACTTCTGAATATATTGAGACAAAACCAATGATGGACACTGCTCCACTTCCCATCACACTTCCTCAATTTTCTAAACCATGTACACAATTCCTTTCTTTGCAGCTTTCCAATCCTTCGCTGCTTATGCGTTTTCTGCTACCTCCACATGTGGACTTTACTAACCCTCCTAGTCTGTAGACACCCACTGCATCATGTTACCAGTATACTTCTCTTTGCAAATCATGACTTATTTTCAGTGGAATATTTGAGGCCTCATGGGTAATTGGGGTGAGCTTCAGGTGCTGCTCTCTGTTTTCTGGCATTTGTGTCTGTTTACAAGAACCTAAATTGTGCTCCACTGTTTCTGTCCTGTCTTGATCTATATTTTATTGCATTCATCAGATCCTTTTCCCAAGGGAACTTTTAACGAAAGTGCACTTCTTGTATGCACTGGTATACTACACCATCAAATCTTTGTTCATTCTTTGCTGCATTACGCTGCAGCCCACATCTTGAACAAGTGGTATGCAGTCTGCTCTTTGTATCTTTCTCCTTCTTGAGCATTATCTATTCTAGATGTTGTCAGACCAATGATGATCCTTTTTAAATCACTTGTTCTCTCTAGGCTGGAATACTGCAGATCTAGAGAATGCACATAGAACCTTTACTGCACACACAAGTTCTGTCAAACACCTTAACTACTGGGAATGCTTAGAAACATTTGACTTGTACTTGCTGGAGTGCAGGCAAGAGAGATGCATCATAATCTACACCCAAAAAATCCGAGAGCTATTGCTCCCAAATCTGCACACACAAATCACTCCCTACAAAAGCAAATGACTGAGCAGATGGTGTAGCATACCCCCAATGAAAAGAAGGGGCACCACTGGTACACTAAGAGAAAACAGTAAGTATTTGGGGCACAAGACTGTTCATCAGCCTTCTATCAGGCATAAGGGAAATTACCAATAGACCCCTGGCTGCCTTCAAGAGAGAGAGAGAGAGAGAGAGAGAGAGAGAGAGAGAGAGCCAAATTCAGTACCTGACCAGCCGGACTGTGGTTCGTACCTTGGACTGTGTACAGCCAGCAGTAACAGCCTAGTTGATCAGGCCCTGATCTACTGGGAGGCCTGGTCAAGGACTGGGCCAAGGGGGTGTTGATCCCTAGAACACCCTCCAGGTAGACTCCAGGTATATCTCAGGGGCTCCAGAGAGAGAGAGTGCCTTTAAACTTTTCTTCTAGCAGAGACTATTCTTATAAAGTGCTTTTTACACTTCTGGAACTGGAGTCAACACTTTCCACTTGCCAAACGTCAGCAGCTAGACCTACCCCTACCCTTCCTCAGATAAATTGTCCGAAATCTAATATTTCTGATACGTTGGAGCCAATTTCAGGTCAATTCTAGTCTGAAATTTAGCAAAATTGTTGCCATTTCAGTAGTAAATCTTCTGTTCTGTTTATTAACGAAAAAAAGCAGCCAAAGAAACACGAAAACCACCTCAGAAAATACCCGTAAGTTGCTGTTTCAGTTGAAACACAAGGTCAGAGGTCAGCTGTTCCCATCATGCACTGTGTGGGGTAGATCTAAAAAATGCTGTATGTGCCCACCACACTGACGCATTCTCTTTTTTGAGGGCTCTCTGATTAAGACTTAGACATACATAAGCAATAATAACCCCCAAAACTAAAATATATGTAAGAGACGGTTAAACGGCTCGCTGATTTTGCTGAAAGCCATTATCTTTAAAGTGCAATGCTTCTATGACTTATAAGCAGAAACTTAGCTATGGCACCACCAGCTATGATATTAATTTTCACCCTTGCTAACTCTTGCTTCCACTCCTCCCTTAATGTCCAGTCCAGTGCTAGTAGTTTTTATTGTTCCTTATTTTTTTTTCCAGGAGCAGTGAATATGTATATGGTGAAAGCATTCCTCAGAGTTCAAAACTGCCTAATTACTGTTGTGCAGTATTACCCGTTTAGGTTTAATGCTAGTTTTCAAATACTGTACTTCATAATACAGTGGTAGTAATAATCCTCAATAGTGGAGTTCAACTGTTCCCACACCCAGCTTATAAAACCTTTTGATATTCAGTGTATTAGCACTTTAAAAGAGGTCTCTTGATGCAGATGAAGGATTTATGATCCAAGGAATTCGTTAACTTTCCTCTCATTATGTCAGACCTGATTGTGTCCATTTCCTAGCTGCTGTATCATCCTTACAGGTTTACTTTCTTCGTGAATATAATAATTAATAATAAAAATAATTCATGGAGTCTCGCCTTCAGTGCAGACTCTGATTGCAGCACCTGTGACGCCGATTTTGCACTCGGACCCATCTTTTCTTCTAACCCTACTATTCTTCTAACCCAACTGTGCTGTGAAACCCCTATGGGTTGAGTGCTCCTTTTTAAATATGTATATTAATAATATAATTCTTTGACAGTGGACACCAGAAACTACAAAAGAGGTCCTGATTTACACATTTCATTCCTAGTTTCTCAACTTGCAAATAAATTATAGTAAACAATAGTACATTTTGTATGCATATACTGTAGTTCACTAGTGTTAAAATATTAAATTGCTCCTAAGTGCTCCAATTGTGAGTTTCAGTGGTTAAACCTAGGATGTTTGTATGTTGGGAACCTCCTGTATACTCTTAACTTTTCCTCTCATATAAAGTTGTAAAGTAAGATAGGAATGTATTCTGGTTGTAACAATAATTAAGGAATTTCTCAGAGGCCCATAAGTTTTTAGTGTAGAAAACATTCCCCTTTATAGTTAGAGCAGAAAACATGACCTTCTACCACAGTTTAGGTTTCACTGTATTATGGTCATTTAGAAAAGTTTGGGTAGGGGAGTGACTTGAATGGAAAAATAATTGAAAATGTAAACCAGTAAAAAAAAGTTTTTCATAAATTGAATAGTCTCACAACTTGTATATACTTACATTCAATGGAATCATCATCAGTTCTTCACTCTGTTTTTATTTCTAATACAGGAAACCTTTTGCAATTCATATTGTTTTGTATTAATAAATTTCCTGAATTGACCCCTTGTTGCAGAGTCATCTCCACTGAGAGAAAGATGCATCCAATTCCTTGGTCCAAGGAATTGGATGTCTCTTCCCTTCCTTGGATTGAACTGGATTGCCTCCCATTTCCTAGGCACTGTATGACCCCTTTGGTTTAACGCTTCCTCTAAATATAATTATAATAATGCAGATTGCTAAGTGGTAATCCACCACACTTCCCATCTTCCATTAATTTTTTCCCAGTATCTCGTCTCATGATGCACGTTTCTACAAGTTTCTTACCAAGATCTCAAGATAAATAACAAGACTTGATTAGATTTGCTGCTGTATGTTGCATGAATTATTTGTAAATCCTGAATGTCTAGGGTTCCTGGTAAAGTCCATCCAAACCATGTTATTTATACATTTACTGTATAGCTTTTAAGACAGGAAAGATGCCAGGTTTATATATAGTATGCTCAGAGTTTAGGGGCAAAGATATAGCAAAGTTTAGTTTCAAGTTATTTTGTGGTGTTTTAATAACGCCACAAAATACAGTACTGTACCTGTCACTGTACCTGCTAGAGAAAAATGGTTTATTGAGGTTAAGATGCATACATAGGCAACCATAAACAGGCAGCTGCTCTGTGGCATTTGTGCTGTTGAGGAGATATATTCATCTTGTGTCGGAAAAATTCCTTTATATCCAGACACCTCTTTGCTATGGACGATTGTGGTCTCCCAGGATGCCATGGATTGCACTGCACTGTACCTATGTCTATGAATGGAGATCAGTATGCCACCTGTTTCCACTCCTTAGATGATGGACCTACTGTAAACTTCAGCCATCCATGGGTTGCATGCTTCTTTGCCGAGTGGAGTGAAATAAAGCAGATTTTTTGCTGGTCTTGCTTAATCATCTGCCCTACTTGGACATTTGTACTGAAAGAATTAACAGAGGTTTTATGAAGGTTAGAGGATGTGTAGCCAAAGTGTTTACATTTAAGCATGTAAGCGGACAGTGTCTAGATAAAGGTTAGGAAGTCTTTTGTTGCATTTATGGAATTAGAAAAGGCATATGATAAAGTGGATAGAGGAGAAATTTAGCAGATGTTGTAGGTGTATGGAATAGGTTGTAGGTTACTTAAAGCAGTTAAGAGTTTTTATGAGGATAGTGAGGCTCAGGTTAGGGTATGTAGGAGAGGGAGATTATATTTCAGTGAAAGTAGGCCTTTGACAAGGATGCATTATGTCATCATGGTTTAACATATTTATAGATGGGGTTGTGAGGAAAGTAAATGCTAGGGTGTTGTGAGAGTAAAAGGTAAAGAATCTAATTCAAAGTTGTCATAGTTGCTTTTTGCCAATGACAGTGCTTTTAGAAGATTCTAAATAGAAGTTAGAAAGGTTGGTGAATGAATTTAGTATAGTATACACAAGGAAATTAAAAGCGAATGTAGGAAAGAGCAAGGTAATGAGAGTATAGTAGTACCAACTCTTAACCCTTAAACGGTCCAAACGTATATATACGTTCTCTCGCGTAGCGCCCTAAACGTATGTATACATTTCATTTGTCATTCATTCAACATTGGCACGATAGGCCTGAGTCGCCTAGACATGAGAGAATGGGTGTGCGCACTCAATGTGTGCCATATGAAAAAAATTGGGGATGCCTGGGTACCACATGCTCTTTTTTCCTATAAAAAGCCAATTTTTTTTTTTCTCTCAAAATATTAGGGGTGCTGCACAGGTGAACACACACACATGTGTTTTCAACATCTAAAAGTATGTAAAAAAATATAGATCTTCTTTTTTGTTTTACATTTGAAAACGTGTAAAAAAAACTTTTATCTACATTTTTTTTGTTATATTTGAAAATATGTAAAAAAAAGTAATCTACTTTTGTAGCACTACGAATTTGAACGTCAATCTCTTTGGACCGTTTAAGGGTTAAGGGTTAAATGGGTGTGAAGCATGGGTTTTAAAGGCTGCAGCATGAAGGGGGCAGACATTGCTCCTGAGGGCAATGTGTGTTATGAATATTATGCAGAGAATTTGTAGTTTGGAGATCAGAAGGGGGGTATGGGGTTTTACTAAAATATTATCAAATTGGGGGGGGTTATTGAGGTGGTTTGACATTTTAATGGGGTTGGAACAAAATGGTGCTTGGGTGTTTAAATTGTACTTGAGGGGGAAGGATAGGGGTTGTCCTAGGAAAGGTTGGAGGGAGGGAGTAAATGTGGTTTTGTTTGCAAGGGGTTTGGACATCCAACAAGGTGTATGACTTTTAGATAGGAGAAAGGGGAAGCAAAGTAATTTTTTAACTTGATGTTGTTGGATTGAACTTAAAAATTTTGAGGGGATTCAGGAAAATGGTTACCCAGATTGGTCCTGGGGGTGGGAAGTACGTGTCAGATCAAAAGGGGGGTAGGGAATACAGGGCCCCTCGGTTTTTGGGCTTTAATCTGTTCCAAAAGGTGGGCCAAAAATCCAAAAAAGGCCCAAAAAACCCGAAATAGATTTCCCATAAGAATTAATGAAATTTCATTAATCCGTTCCAAGATCCAAAAAATATTAAAAAAAAAAAAAATTTTTTTTTTTAAAAAAAGATTAACTATAGTTTTACTACAAAAAAACTATGAGAACTAAATAAAAAAAATAAAAAAAACATCTAAATCCTATTAATCCTTTATTAAAAGACTTGTTGGCTTATGGAAGAAGGGGGAGGAATAGGGGAGGATGTTTGGGAAAGGGGGAATCCCCTCCAAAGGACTTCAGGTTCAGAGCCTTTGGGGGGTTATTCCCTTCTTTTTTTTTTACTGCCAAAAGGCCAGCTTGAGTCCTGCACCCCTGTTGCAAAAAAAAAACTGCCCGGGGGAAAGGTCTTTTTCTG